TCAACCAACTTTTCAATTATGTGCACTGTCCGAGACACCCAAACACTTTTCCCCTTATATTGAGATTCCGTGCAAATGCAAAGCTTTTGTAATTGTGTTTTAATTATTTCTGGCAATAGTGAATTATATATCATGGTGCTTTTTTTTATATATATATATTTATGATAACTATATTTATACACTTCACACGTAATAATTTTTTTCAAAATAAAAGAAGCATGCGCAAAATTAAAAATTTTTATGACATTACAATTCTTTCCCAGTAAAAAAGTTTGATTTAATGTTGATAATAAAAAAGAATAATGAACATGAAAGAAACAAATATAAAATTGTCCACCATGAAAACTAATAGTTTTAAAACGATTTTCTGTTACGAAAGAAAATAAATTTATTTCACAGAACAAAATCTCAATTTAAGAACTAAAATCCAGTTAAAGATATTTGTCTTTTACGATTTTAGTTCTCAAAAAGTTAGATTGGTGCTTTATATTTTTGGCTTTCCAAATTAAAATTTCATATAAATATTCATTTGTATATATTTTATACGTTTATATCCCATATTTTAAAATGTTTATTTAATAAGAACAGAGAATGAACCGAAATATTCCAGATACTGATTTATTTAAGGCAACACAGAGGTCATCACATTTTTCAATGCTAGACTTCGTCTCATAAATTTGAAAATTTTTTTTAATTAAAATAGCATTTTCCAACGGTTAAACCCATTTTTTTCTTATATAGGTAAAATTTCTGTCCTCTATTTAATTTGCATTTTATTTAAATAGTGTACATCCTTTTTTACGAAAAAAAATTGTGATTAAGTTTTAATTCTTAAATTAGAAGCGACAAAGCGTCCTGTTATCGTCCTGAGCGAAGTAACTAAAATCCCTTGCAAGTCACTTTAACAAAGTTTTGAATACCCCCTGGATCTCTACTTCGATATACTGTATAAATATATATATAGAAAGTTACAGTGTTACCCTCCCCAAAATTTAAAATGCACTTAAAATTGAATTTGTCGCATTACTTGTTATTCAAACTAAGAAAATTTTTGTCCATTTATACATTGACCAAATGTGTCGACCAGATGAGGAATTCCCAGATTTGGAAATACCGTAAGTTCTTATAAATAAAAACCTTCATTTGAAGTTTAAACGTTTGTTTTTTATTATTGAAATGATATTTGTCAAATATATATAAATTAAACATAAATATATATATATATATATATATATATATATATATATATAATTACCTGAAAAAATTATTAACATTGACTACGATAATCACCCATATATATATATATATATATATATATATATGCTATTTACACACCCATAAACATATAATGAATGTTATTCAGCGAGCGGTCGTATAAAATATATTATTTAGAATATTTTTATGTTATACGTTATTTATAGACAAATATTTGGCTAATATTCTGTTTATAATAAAAGATATTAATAAATTTACCAGCCTGAATGTCCAGAAAATTTTTAGAACCAATGTGTCCTCCGATAGAATCGAACCTGTATCCTGCTATGGAACCACTTGGCGGTGACGTGACGCGCAAATTAGCTATTAAGAGAGATTTGGTTAACAAACGTCGATTTAACATGTCTTTAAATCTCCAGCGCCACGCCAGTCTCTAACATAAGTTCCTGCTGACATTGTATCGCAATCCAAAAGGCCGGAGCGTACATTGGAAAGGAATGAAGTAAAGTCCAACAATAACAAAAATTTACGGTTTACAATTATTTAATAATGTAAATAATGTACAAATTTAGGTTTAATCATAAACCGTTTACCAACATTTACCGGCACACATTACAACATAAAAGATTATATATAATGTGTGCGTCTTCCGAGGAAATGTGTGTAGATGGTTTGCGTTCCGTAACAGCCTGCAGATTCTTTTTCATTGATGTTGTTCAGACAATATATTTATATTTACATACGGTCGATTCTACTGATATTGTTTTACATCCCATGATGCAAATAGATTCAGTTAAAAAAATGTTGCCTGCGTAAATATATATATATATATACAACGATGTATATATATATATATATATAGGTATATATGTTCTGATTGTGTGTGAGGAGATTTGTGAGCTCGAATCACATGGTCAATTGTGTGTGTTTTGTGTTTGTGTGTCAAATGATTAATGGAAGAAATCAGAGAGTGCGAGTTCGAATCCCCGGAAAACATTGGAATTATTTTTTATTATTTAGAAAGGTATAACTGTTCTTCTTCCTCTTGTTCCAGCATCTGCATCACAAGGCATTTTCAATATCAGAGCGTACGTATCGAGGTTTTATAGCCAGTGGAAACGACGGATTGTAAACAAATGGCAACCTACTGTAACGATAACCTGCACAATCTTATTGTACATGGATAATGTAATTGACATCATTGGGATGGCCCCCAAAAAAAAAAAAAACGTAGATAGATGTCTGTAAAAATATGTTTCAATAAGAGAATTTTTTCTTTATTGAAATTGTCCCCACCCTTTATCAAGAAAGGCTAAAGGAAAAAAATTGGAAAATGAGAAGAAAAAGTGAGAGAGTATATATATAAGAAAGATAATAGCTTGTTTATATGATGTCGAATTACCATTTTTTAGTAAAAAGACGGAAGGATACAAGATGAAATAAAAGAAGACAGAGAATAGATAGTGAGAAAAGTAGGAGAACAGAAATAATTATGTAAAACAAAAAAATAATTGTTTTAGACTAACCACATGACAAACACGTTATCACCGAGAAAGAAGGATGATAGAAAGACACTTTTCATTTCAAGAGTACGGTAACTAAGAACATATTTCTTTTTTATATATATATATATTGCATCTAAATCAATTGTATCAATTATGAGAAAACCTTTGAAAGGCATGAACCCGGGCATTTTTTGATCCCAGCTAACTGGAAAATAGAAGACGTTCAGGCATCTTTCAGATAGCCTTGGCAGGTATATTGGTTTCCGCATTAATAACAATTTTGCGGTAGACCAGCCGCCCTGTTTTTGGGGAGGGTATCCAGTAGTGCCATAAAGTATCCCCTTTAGGACACAAAAACGAATTTGAGGATTAACAAAGTTCACCAAGGGTAATAAATGATTTGTGCGGGTAATTTGCTCGACTGAATTCGGAACCGAGTTTTTGAGATTCTTCAAATCGGAACAGAGCTCATTTGATAAACCAACAGATAAGAATCACATTTTTGTAATTAGTTAAACCAAACCGTAGAAATAAACCAACAAGACATTAAAGGATTAAACATATAAACGGGAGTAAATTCCACAGACCGCAATTGACATTGTAAGAAAATTTTGAAGATGAAAAGTTTCACCAAAAGAATACCCTGATGATGATTGTATGCTATGTCAAAGTACTCGGAAAAATTTCATACAATTAGCAGCTAAGGTTGTCCTTTCGTCTTAAATTGTTTTTAACAAGTTCGTCCGAATAAAGGATTCCATCGAAACAGCGATAGAGAAAAGACTGCACAGAAATACGGTTTAAAAACAATATGTAAAATTTAAGAAACGTTGGAAACTTCATTCGCCCAACTGGACGCGGAAAATGTTTTCAAATGAACCTCAAGCCCTGTCCTTGATGATTCTTTTAAAATTTTTTTTCCTAGACACCATCTATTCTTGTTCATCTTCAGAGGGTATTTTCAAGAAGTCAAACAATCTTTCTTTATCAAATTTGATATTCTTTTCTTATCTTATCATTAAAAGATTCCTCTATTTATCTAACGTTTTTCCTTCCAACAATAACAAAAGCTTTTCTCCTAAAACAATTATGCTTTTTCCCTGTTTCAAATACATCCATTTTTAAAAGTTCCTATATTATGTTTCTTTTTGAATTTAAATATTAATAATATTATAAAAAATTTTTTAACTTGATAAATATTTCAGAGATAATCGATTATTTGAGATTAAATTGTCATCACTTCAGCATTCTTTATTTAATCGAAATGTTGACTTAATTCTTTCAAAGATCAACCACCGATTAATTATAATAATCAAGTTTGATAAAAAAAATGAAAAAATTTTACTTTTGTTTATAAGATAACGAGGAGGATTTGACATGGTTTTGGGATGTGAATGAATTCTTTAAAAGGATGAAATGGAAAAGATTAAAGATAAATATTTTTTTTTCAGAATTTGTTCTTAAATTATGAATGAAATAGGTATTTTTAAATATATAAATAATATTTATCAAAACTTTTTTTTTAAATGTGATCAAATATTGTATATATAGTATGGAAAAAAAAGATGATATAATATATATATTCAAAAATGAGAAATTGAAATCAATAGCATCTATAATACAAATAAAATGTAAGCCGTTATTATATCTCGGTTATGGAACTGAAATTGTCTTGTTATTCTGAACTGAACCTCAATGAAGATTTTTCTTATATGTTATTGTATATGGACAAATTTTGACAGAAGTTAAAGTTTCCTGGTAATTTTCAAAAGAAGCAAGGATGAAATTTTATTATACATAAAACAAGCCTTTTAGAACAAGAATTATTTTATTTTTCTTTCTGTTATTTTTTATGATAAATAAATAATAAAACCTTATAAGCAATCGACAGTCATCAATGGCCTATATATAATACTCCTCATCCACATGATGACCATCATCTACAACATCAGGAGTAGTTCGCCCTGGAAATTGAAGAAGAACAGGAAGAAGGAGAAAAATTGCCAAATCGGTGGAAAATGAAGGAAAGAAAACCTTGATTTTGTTATTGTCTTGAAAGTCCTTTATATAATACAGGAACTCCTCTTGTCTTCTACCATCGTCTGCCTACTTTTTACCGACCTTGATTAAAATCCATTGGGTAGGAAAAGCTTGATCCATCTGTTATTGGAACAGAGAAAAATGTGATCCGTCCAACTCAGTTTTTGACATTAATCAAATATAATATCGATTAATTTCGACTTTTTGTAATACTTGTCCAATAAGTTCTTTCTGAAAGTTTTATAAAGATAGATAATAAGATGAATAGATAGATAGATAGATAAATAGATAGAAAAAAAAGAAAACAAAATGAGACAGATAGATAGATAGATTGATAGAAATCTGATAGAAAAGAAAGAAATAATCTGACATCGACAGATAGATGTGTAGAAACAGTCTGAGATAGATTTATAGATAGAATAGATAGATTAATTACATTTTCTAAATATATGATAGATAGATAGATAGATAGATAGGCAAAAAGGGGTCTGTGGGAATCTTCCCAGCTCAAGAAAAAGTTTCAAAATTATTTTCAAAGAATTTTTGTGTATTTTTTTGAGTTTTTTAAAATTAAAATGGGATTAATTTTGACAATAACTCAATTATTTAATACACACACACACACACACACACACATATATATATATATATATATATATATATATATATATATATATATATATATATATATATATAAGATAAAGAACAAATAGGACCGTTTTTCTTTAGTTTTTCTTATCTTTTTATTAAAGTTTTATCAAAGAAAATGCCGGGATATATTTAATGATTCTTGGCAAAATACAAAAAAGAACCAGCAATATTATTAGTCCTGAACTGGCCTCTCGGCTTCAGACACTTTCTCACCGTCGTAAACGTCTTCCCTGTCCCCGTTCTATTAATAATTTCATGGTAATTGTTCAGATGAGTTTTATTCACCTATCCAATTCACCTGGTAACAATAAACAACATGAATTGGTCATGTCACCGTATAGACGTATACATCTATGCTAATACTTTCTTGTCTTGCTTGTGGAACGCTCTTCGGTCTCTATGTTTTTCCAGCCAACTTTGATCTCCAAAAATTTAAATGCAATGTCAATCGTTATCTACTGTCTTCCTGATTACTCTTCTTATTCTTCTTCTCTTTTTTTTCTATTTTCTAATTCTTCCACACCGAGTAATCTCTTCTTCTCTTAATAAAGGCTAAATGCCCTTTTTTAGAATGATATCGATTGAAAAATTTGACAAAACGTATACAATATTTTATATATATATATATATATTGCAGTCAAGCTCATTTACTCATGACGTTAACAAATATATCATATATATTTATTACTTTTGACATTTAATTAAAATTTTATATATAGGTAATCATAAAATGTTGACTTAAAAAAAAATAAAAAATAGAGCAAAGCTATGAACTTTGTACAATTTATCCTCAGTATAATAAATATCTGTACAATGTAGAGTTTTATGCTCTTATCTGTTCAAATTTTGAATTAACGTGGATTAATATACGATGATTATGCGATCAATTTTAGCGTCACGTGGTTAAAATTTCCTTCACCTGTTAAATATTTTTGTTACGTGCGCGGTTCAAAGTGTTTATAAATTTAAATTCAATCTGAGTTGTAATCCGTTGATGAAATGGGATTCTAGAATCTTTAAACATTTTATTTTTCATTTGGAGTAGCAGATTACTAAAATATTGTGGGAATTAGAATGAGCAGTCAGTAATTGTTTATGTATGCTTTTACTCTCAGGTTTCTGGAGATGTATATTATAGAGTGATTAAATATATGTTGATTTTAATATCAACAGAGATTATATTAATAATGTTAATATCGATATATTTTTTATCAGGAGATATTCGGCATGCATTGGGACGGGAGCTTCATCGATTGATTCTTTATAAAATATTTATATTAAATACAATTATCAAAGAATATGTTTTTAAATAATAACAATCATCACTCTTTTTTGGGAGCTATCATAACTAAAAGCGTATTGAAGCGTAACAAATTATTTTTTGCTCACAGTTACATGGCATGAAATATTTATTTATATATTATTTAATAATCTATCTAATAATATAATAATAATCTATATCTTATAGTCCATTTATATATGATTCTGTATCTCAGAATACTTGGTTTGAAAAATAGAAAAGTTATTTTTAATAATCACTTCTCAATCGCTTGAATGTATGACTGGAAATCGCTGATCTGAGAATCTAAATATGACAGTCGAATTTCTGAAAAAAATGGAAAAACAAAACATCTTTTAAAAAGTCTCTACTATACCTAGGTTATGTTAAAATATTTTTATAAGTTCTTAGAAGAATGTTTTGGTTTAAAGGAACTCTCAATAGTGGGCAAAACTATCCCCTTTCAGCCTATTTATGTCAATATCAATATCTTTATACAAATACATTTTATAAAAATAAATTGATAGATAAATAGATAATTATCTGTTTATCTGTTTTACATTACCATCTTTTTAAAAAATCTTGATATTTTATTTTTTGTATATCTTTTCGTGCGCATGCGTACATAGACTAGATTTATAGGTAGATATCAAACATTATTTCTGTTTTTATTTTTTTTATTTATTTATTTTTTTTTCATTTGTTCTTCTTATTTTATACGTCCTTTATATTTATCTCTCAAATTTTTCTATATATTTTTCCATCCCTTTTGTCGTTTTTAATTGAAGAGATGAATATGTGCTTGTCAAATAAAACTTTCCTTCTCTTATTGAGCTCATTTTGAATGAATTCAACAAAACCATAAAAGACTCTCTTTCTTAGAACCTGCCCCTGATGGGTCCAATGAAGCATTTCCCATCCTAAATTGAAATATGAAGTTGATATATATTCTTATTTTCTTCGATGAATGGGATAGATAGATTTAAGATGAATATATATAGATAAGAGATACAATCTGTGATACATCAGATTAAAAATCATAAATTAAGATGAAATTAAATGACAAACAACATGACCGCCTAATCGCCAGTATCTGCACATTCTTCTTATTGATAGTTAGATAGATCTATATATAGATCGATAGATGAATAGATAGATAGATAGATAGATAGATAGATAGATAGATAGTGATATAGATAAATAAAGATAATTTTTGAACATTAGATAAATAGATATGAAAAATAAATAATGATAGATATAATATAGATAGATAGATAGATAATTATACTGATAGATAGATAGATATATATATAGATAGATAGATAGATAGATATTAAATAGATTTTAGATAGATGAATGAATACATAAATATAGATAGATATGCTGAGATAGATAGACAGATAGATAGATATAGAGAGATAGATAGGGAGGGAATAGATAGATAGATAGATAGATAAATAGATTTGAACAAAGATAAATCAATGAAGGATGATTTTTCAGATTTAATTACAGATAGATGATGAAATAATAGATGAATAGATAAATGTGAACAAAAATGGATAGATATATGATAGATAGATGAATAGATAGATAGATAGAATGAATGAAACAAATATGCAGATGAGATAGATAGATAGATAGATGAATAGATAGATGATGATAGATAGATATAAGATGTAAAGACATAAGATTTAATGGTTAACCGTAACATCTTTTTTCATGGCGAATGCCCCACCTTGTTTTCTTGGATGCCATTAGGTGTTGTTCCGTTTAGGAATATAAAAGCAATGGACATAAACACGCTGCTTTTTTGTTGCCCCAGACACAGTACGCGGTAGGTACAGTAGTGTCCAGTGTACCCCTATTGGTAGAATTAGTTACCCGACAACCGACGACGTAAATTTCCCCATAGGATATGCAAACTATACAGTCTTGATAGCAAACTCGGAAAAGAAACTGCAATAAGTCCTACAGAAGGCAGAGAAATAAAGCGAAAAGGAAAAAACGAAACATGAATTACAAGAAGACAGAATGCATGGCTGTTAACAAAAGAAATAGCCCAACATGCAAATTACAAATTGTAGATGTCGAAATTAAACAATTACAACAATCATCGCTTTAAACTGAGGATGGGAAGTACGATATGGAAATACAAAGTCG